ACAAAAAAAAGACAAAAAAAGTGTCGCAACTGAACATTGAACTAGTCACGCACATTCATTCAATTCCTCTACTCTGCGTTGTTTGTATTTACATTGTATACTTATTTGTTTATAATATATACGTATCTGATTTTTTTAGTTTCGCACCGCACTTCCCCCAATTAACACACATTCAGCTCACTCCCGCAAGAAGAAACCACAGCACAAGCCAAGATGTTCATTTGGGACTGGTTCACGGGTGTTCTGGGATACTTAGGTAAGTGTCTGGGCCAAATGGAATTTGACATTGCTACATGAGCGATTTTCTTGACCGTTTGCCAACAAAACAGAAACAGCAAAAGCAACACCAACAGCAACAACAGTAACATTAACAGAAGCAGACAACAAAAGCTGTGTGTGTGTATGTGAATTGGTGAAGCTGTTTCGGAATTTATGTCGATTTAGTGAAGTCGGAACTGAAGCGCAGTTCGACCTTTACATTAACATTGACAAAACACAAACGCTCAAGGTCTTCATTAATATATGCATACATATATAAATATATATTAATTAATCATAAAATCAACATTTTCCATGCACAGGTCTATGGAAAAAGTCCGGCAAACTATTGTTCCTTGGCTTGGATAATGCTGGTAAGACCACATTATTGCATATGCTCAAAGATGATAAGCTGGCGCAGCATGTCCCAACACTGCATCCAAGTAAGTGTAAAACTCATCTACTCCAGATTGTTCTGTAGCTCATGTATCTTTCCCTTCTTCCCTTGATTTGGCTAGCATCCGAGGAGCTGTCCATAGGCAATATGCGTTTCACTACATTCGATTTGGGTGGCCATACTCAAGGTGAGTACAGAGCTTTGCATAAAGAGATAAAGCATTCCGAAGATATATTAAATATTCAATAATCGTAGTACTCTTATTAAAATCATAAATATTGCGCATGTTAAAACGTGCTCTTTGTCTAAAAATAGCACAAAGCGCATACACAAACATACAAACATACATACGTAGCACAAAGACGGCACAACAACAAAACAATCAGCGTAAAATATAGCGCAGGGGGTCACCCACACACATACATACACAAATCACGCATACACATACTTGCAAATAAAAAACACTTTGTAAATTTTGCCATTTGTTGCGTACACTCTTCTGAAACAATAACAACAACGTCATCGTCGCAGTGGCTAAGATGTGTACATATATACAAATATGTCATCATTAATCTACATATATATGCAAAACTATACACAAACAATTACATAATAAATATGTAGGCGATTACCAATGCGTAGCTTAATTCACTTAATATATAATACATATAATATTTTATTTATTGGAAATTTGTAAACACAATTTCCGTATTATTCCATTTAAATATTTGATAAGAATTTAAATTAAACTATATTAAAGTTTTCCAATAATGCAATCAACTCTTAACCACTGTGCGTGGAATAACTGTTACAAAACACTATGTCAAGCACACGGGCAAGATAGCAAAAACAAATATAATAACTGCAAATGATCAACAACGAATAAAAGCACTTGCATATATGTATCTATATACATACATACATACATATAAGAAATGTTCAAGATTGTACGTATAAACGAATCCGTATAATCATGCTGGTAAGCGTTAGATGGCGGAAACTGTCTAGAGACTGCAAATATATTTATATTATATTTGTGTGTGTGTGTGTCTATATATGAACTTTTATTGATAAGCGAAGCAGGGCGAGTCGCAGCTCACGTATACTGATATGTATGTATGTGTGTGTACATTAAAAGCCTATAAAGCAAATTACTGCTTACAGTATTAGACGTGATTTTCAGCTAGAGCAGTGTTTGTTCTGTTGAGAGACGCTTAGTTTGATTGATATGAAGACTGTGACTGATGGCGGCAGTAGACGCCCCACCATGATTGATTACTGAGTGTCAATGTTTGGTTGCTTGCAGCACGTCGTGTATGGAAGGATTATTTTCCAGCCGTGGATGCCATCGTATTCTTGATAGATGCGTGGGATCGCGGTCGCTTCCAGGAGAGCAAAAACGAACTGGATTCGCTGCTCACAGATGAGGCGCTGTCCAACTGCCCGGTGCTCATATTGGGCAACAAAATTGATAAGCCTGGCGCGGCCAGCGAGGACGAGCTGAGAAATGTGTTTGGACTGTATCAGTTAACGACCGGCAAGGTAAGCATCGACTTGAAATACATATATAATTATCGCAATTATTAATTTAAATATTTTAATGGCTTTTCAGGGCAAAGTTGCTCGCTCCGAGTTGCCTGGTCGCCCGTTGGAATTATTCATGTGCTCTGTGCTGAAGCGACAGGGCTATGGCGAGGGTTTCCGTTGGTTAGCGCAGTATATTGATTAAGTCTTGATTAACATAAACAATAACACACTGAATTCAACAACAACAACCAATCACACAACAAAACACAAACAGAGAACTTGGCTAGCAAAACATCAATTAAATTCAGAATGGACAAAAACCAGAAACAGTAAGCAATTCGAAGCTGCAAGCGCAATATTCAATTTTTACACAATGATAAACAATAAATCGTAAATATAAAAGCAAAAAGGAACTAAATTAAATAAAAATAAAACACATAAGAAATAAAAGTAAAACAATATTTTTTAAAAATCACAAAGTGCAAAAACTTCTAAAAATTCAATACACGCAGGACGCCAAAATAATAATAACAAAAACAAAGTTTAAAAATCAACAAACAATATAAAAATGGGAAAATTTGAGAGGAATGCGTGGGAAAAGCTTTTAAAAATAATTATGTATGAATAAAAAATTGTAGCGAATTAAAAGGTGATTTTTTTAAGGACCATGTGCTTGCTTATGTTCCATAAATAAATTTTATTATTTAAACATTTGAAATTGTCTGTCAGATTTTTGATTTCGTCTCTCCAAATGGTCAACAACTTTCTCAAGAACAATACAATTTGTTGATCTACATCTTTTAAGTTGCATGGAAGAAAACGAAAACAATTTATAAATAATAATAAAAAAAAAACGCTAAAATAATAAAGGAAAGATGATAAACTTTTGTATAAAAGCAAATTGATTGCATTTTTAAAGAATTCTTTTTCTAGGTGAATAGACTAAAATAATTGGAACACACAATTTCAGTTTTTACAAATATGTATATTGAATTTATTTATGTCGCATTCAAGTCGTTGGCTAATTATCCTTGGCGGATCAACTGGCTTTCAATAAACATAAAATACACTATTGGAGCTAACATTAAGCAGCTAACAGCAACACGGTTTATTACTTGTCTATGTAGAAAAATATTTCTAAAACATGAATTAAGGTTTGATTGGGTTCTGGATTAGCCCTGCTAGCTGTTCTGGCAGGATTGTTGACCACACGGACTTTGACAACGTGGCACACGGCGACAGAAAAACAGTTGACGATGGAACAGCCTCATAAGGAGGCCGTTCCTTTTCGCTTTGTGCCGACATCAAGAGCGCGAGGGTACCGTCGCACTGACGCTATCGTCGGTACCGGCCATTCGCCGCTTCTTCTTTTTCTTGGCCGTGAGACTTTCCTGGCCACTGTCCGTATTTGAATCGGCGTCCGTGTCTGAGGATGAGCTGCTGGACGAGGACGATGAGCTGGAGTTGCTTGAACTATCGGAGGCGAAGCCTGTGCTCTCATTTATATTAATACTTTCGGCAATCTGGGCCAACTCCGGACGCTGATCGCGCAGCACTCGGAGCCACTTCCTCGACAATTTGGGTCGACCTCGTACCGTCTTATGCCACACACACGGAAAGTTCGTAAAGCTACAGAAATTCTGAGTTATTGCAATAGTGTCGTCCAGATTGAGCACAACGTGCCACCAGCCTCCAGGCACAAATACCGTTTCGCCAGCACACTGGAGCACCTCGATGGGTTTGTATTCCTGTGGCCACGAGGGCAGCTGAGTACGAGGATAAATGGTGCTAAACCAGGTGATGGCCTCGTCTCGCTGCTTGCCTCCCATAGCACTAGTAACCTTGAGCAGATCCTTGGGCGTGTGCGTGGGAAACAAGCACCAGCGCTTGTGGCCACGAACTAGGGTATTCCATGCGCTGGTGCCCAGCGGATCTATATGAATGCCGGTGCCGGAACGAGCCGGGCCCATGACAAACCATCGATATGGCGGCCGCCGCTCCTCGCCGCAGTACTTGAAGAGATCATCACGAAAATATTTAGGCACCGTATAATCCTCAAGCAGCTTTCGTCGACGATGATGTTCGCCAAAGCTGCTATCGAATATGTAGAGGGGGCTATCGTCCCTCGTCGCTTGCATATACTCGATGTAGTACTTCATTTTCATTTTAACGCTATAGCCTTCATTATCCTCGCCGCACTTGAATTTCTGGTTGCGATATTTTTTCGCTAGGCGGGAGAGCGTCCATTTTTCCTGCGCCAGCCAGCCGTCAGCGCAGCCAGTTATTATTACGGGCAGATAGGGGCGTTCGAACCTTTCAATGAATTCCTCACATGTTACCGTTTTATAGTCGATTCTTTCCAGGTTATCCACGAAGTCCCAAAATGGCTCGAACTTCTCAAAATACCGCATCGCCATCCAAGCACTTTCGCCATCGAGCTCAGGGCGGGCTTTACGTTTTACATCGCGCGTACGCTTACGTGATCGCTTTGGCAGTTTAAATTCTTCACTCATGGTGGGAATATTAGAAAAATTAACGAAATTGTGATCCGCAGATGGTGGATGACTTTCTGCACGTCTCGTTTACTGTGACGGGTTGTATTTGCAACTATCGATATGCATTTGAAATCGCGTTTCTGCGGGAAACAATAGCAAATTACAATTTCAATTAATGATTGTATTTTGAATTGTAATAATTTTACTTAATTATAAATCATATTACCTTGGCATATGTCCACTATTAGATTCCATTTTAATTCTTGTAATGAAACTATTATGAGCAATATCAGCAATGTAAAATACGACACTTATCGTATTGTATCTATATATCGATTAATGATGGGTATATCGTTGACCTACTCATGTGACAGATGTAAAAAATTTGGTGTTTGGTGAAGAAAAATTATGATAAGCCAGGTTGGAAGAGGTACGTGTTTTTCAGAGCTATACCTGGAAGATGTACTCAAGTGAAACTTTACTCTTTCAGAGCTATACAAAGTGCCGCATCGCATTTTAGACCACCGCGTATTTATCAACGGCGAAATCGACATATTCTTGGATAATTTCGAACTGAAACGCAACGATAGCGAAGTCGAGACACTTTTCCAGGTCACCGAAATTGTGGGTTCACTAAAGTACGATCTCTCCGAGCGCTGCATTGCATTAGGTAACCAAAGACTTACCGAACTTTCAACAGCTGTTAACAATTTGCTAAACGGCGTTGAGACCCTGCTAGAGAAGGCCAAAGTTGAACGAAAAGTAAGCATTTTTCAACCATAAAAACCCCTATTTTCAAATATTTCCTTTTGCATATTCAGCCCAGCGTTGAGCTACAGGAGGCAAGACGAGCACGTGAGCAACGCAAGGCGGAATTTTTAAGTAATTTACAACACAACTATAAACGTATTGATAATTCGTTCGAGGAGAAAGAAGAAGAAATCGCCGAACTTTATTCGGATTTGCAGTTAAAATTAAACATTAACAAATAAGTAAATCTACAACATGCTGAAGTCGACTATTGTGGATACTCGTGTTCGACTGCGGCCATCCAAAAAACTATTGAATTTGCTGGACAAACAGAAGGAACATTTGAAAGAGCTGCCTGCTAATTTGGCTAAAATCCTAGAGAAAAACGGATATAGCATAGCCAATAGTACTAGAATAATAAGAGATGATGAGATAGTCTGTAAGCGACCACAAATCGATGTCAAGCTGCTGAAGAAACTGACTGCAAATTTACCAGATGTGCCTTCGAGCGCTCAAGAAATTAATGAATTGCCAGAGGAGGAGGAGGAGGAACCAAAGCAGCCTCTTACTGGCGACTTTTTATATCTAAACGATTTGCACTTTCTTAACTCAACACTTACCGAACTACGGAAGAACAATATAACTAATGTATATCTGTATGAGTTAATTGAAAGCTGCGAGCTCATACTGCCCGAGAATGAGTACAAACCTCGCAATCCTGAGCTGGAAGCGCGTTGCCAGCGGCTGCGCGATGAGCAACAAAATCGCGAATATCATAAGATGACCAAAAATGTTGATGCGACACTCAAGCATATTCCCGAGGATACAGTAGCCTACCAATGTGAGTTCACCAAAGCTATTATTCCACACTCAATTGTTAACGTTATAAATCCTTCTCTCTCTCTCACTTGCAGTGAAAAGTATTAATAAGCAAATTATAGCTGTGGCCCAGTTCATTTTCTCGGTGGCAGCCGGATTCACTTTTGGATTCTTTGGGGTCAATTTGATGGTTGGTCCACTACCTTTTGGTTTCCGTATTTTACTGGGCGTCATTGTGGCGTTGATAATAGCGCTGGCCGAGATGTACTTCCTGGCCAAGAAGCTGCACGAATACGACGAGGTCTTAGATGCGCCCAAACGCAAAACTCCAAATTCACCGAAGGCTAGTGGCGTGCAAATTTTGCAAAAGCCGCATGTTGATTAAAACGTTATTTAGAAAGCTTAGTATTAAGTTTTCTTCTGCAATATTTTGGGTTACATAAATAAGTTTTGATTTTAACAGGGGGAAGGACTTTTCGGATATACGATGAGGCGATACACACATATATATGCTTATTCGTAGTGGTTTTGTTTCGGGTTTGGATTATTCCAGCTGTCATCCAAGCTATCATTGCCGCCGCGACCCAGCACTGCCATGATATATACAAATAGAATGAAGGCCAAAATGCCACTGAGTACCAAGAACCAGGTACGCCGCCAAGGTGGACGCGAGGATGGTGCATAAAAGCGTCGGGTCCAACGGGAGAATAACTCGGCCGGCGAGCGGCGTTGATATTTATTATCATCACGATCGGTGCCGCCAATCGGCGGCTGTCGGGGCAGCAGCGGACGCCTGCTGCTAGTTCCTAGAGATAAATTAAGTCTGTTTAAGAGAAGCACATATTAGCTCAGGAGCTTGAACAGACCATGTATGTCACCAGAGCTAGGCGGATTAAAGGCATCCATTAGCAGCACGGAATGTGGACTGGAGCTATCAATACCTCCATTCGGTTTCATACGCTCACGCTCGCCGGCGGAATGATGATGCACTTTGGTAATATTGGGAACAGTCGATTGGCTATTAATCGTTTTTGCTTTGAAGCTATTGTTTTGTTCGTCCGAAAGCTGAAATTAAAATTATTTATTAATGTATGAGCATGGTATGTACTTCAGTTCGGAGCTTACCAAAGCAAGGCCTAATCCACTTCGACCCCAGTTCACTTGTGACAGATATTGTTTGAGTGCATCTGCAACTGGTGAGACCAGGTTCGAAGTTGGAAAAATTTCCACACTGCAACTCGGACATTGGTGGCCACTAGGTGCTGTATTGGCAGGCAGACTGGCTTGGCGTGCGTTTAAGCAGTCCCAGTGATAAACATCTAAAATATAACCCAGCTTGTTAAAAAACAATTTTCCAGAAATTGCAATCTTCCTTACGGTAGCACACTAAGCGCACGCATTCGCCCTGCTCCAGGCCGGTGCCACAAAGCGTACAATTGGATATATAGTCGCTATCACGTAGCCATTGCAGATACGATTGCACTATGCACTGCAAGAAATTGATTAACAGTGAAAATATCATACCACATGTATCCACCCACCTTGGGATGGCTCTGAACCATGCAGTGCTCACAGACATTGACTCTATGCTCAAAGCAAAATTGGTTTGTCACCAAACGTTTTGGACACTTGCAAAGTCCCATTTTGTGTAGGCTAAGTAATTATTGTCGTTCTTTGTCGTGTTTCTATGTAGAGAAATGGGGCTGACACTCGTAATTCGAAAAGGCAGCGTTAATTTGTTTTATCGCATATTTAGTATATATATCTAAATTAATTTCAATTTTGTGCTTAGCTTTTGCTGGAATTTTTTGTCGAACAACAACAGAATCGGCAGCCACGTATTTCTACTGTTTCCAGGCCGAACAAAGTTTATCGAGCTCACGATTAATCGATAAGCTGGGTGTAGCTGCCTCCTATGGGAAAGGGCAAGGCGCGCTAAATACATTTAAATGAACACAGCAGTAACAGAAATTTTAGGTCATTGCATATTTAATCTAACCATTCATTCATATATTGGCAATTAATAGCGGTCACATCACCACAATTGGAGCAATTCTTGATCACAGGGCATATGCCACACGGCATTTGCACAAAACCAGGTGCCGGCAGAGGTAAATTTACCGCACGATAAACGTACGTGCCATCTGATTGTAGAATACGTTCTGCGTTGCCATCGTATACAACGGTTTTCAATATTGTCTCTAAGTCATCCTCATCCAGATTGACTTTACTGATGCCCAAATCCGATATAAATTTGTGCACTTCTTTTACAGTACAGCAGGACATTTGCTTAAACGCCAGTGGCCCATCGCGTTTCTTCTCGGCACTTTCACGTTTCATTTGAAGGAATCGCAGGCATTGTTGATTCAGCACATCTACGAACTCTACTTCAAAATCTTGGTCCTGATACCAAGCACCGCCTGTCACAGATCGATCTGCTTCTAAGTTGTAAAGCATATAGACTTTCTTTTTGCTTGCCTTAAATAAATAAATTTAAAATTGTTTAGTTTGGATTCGATAGATTAATTAACTTACTTACGTTCACAGATTTGACCGCTTTAATAAGTTTCTTGGTTTCCAGATTCTTGAGAATTTTGTTAAGTTGGGTCATATTCAAATTAGACTTCATGCGTATATCACGTATCCAAATTCCTTTGTTGCCGCCCTCTTCCACTATACTATAGACCACCTTCTCTTCATTATCCGCATCTTTGGGCAGTGCACTCTTCTTTTCCGGATCCTTGGCGCGGTAAATGAGTTTCTCTCCTTTCTTCAAAATCTCTATGCCACCTTGCTTCAACAATACATTCAGGCCCTCGACCCGCGAAGCTGCGGGCATATCTGACAACGCTTTAGTAAGGTCATCGTTTGTCGCTCCACCTGGTATTCCCTGGATTACCGCAAGCAACAATTGAGCGACCTCGGCTGCCATTGTGATCTGTAAGCGGAATGTTTACATGATTTTCTGTAGGTAATAAACCTTACGTGTGGAGTCACTTGAAATGAGGAGCAACTCTGCTATTGTGCTGTTCAGCTCTAGAAACACATTTCACGAATGTTTTGGATTTCTATAGCCGAAACATAGTTGTGGTGGTGAATCTTGATAATCACTTACGTTTTACAGAGCTAAAATGTCACAAACACACAGCTCTGATGACGAGACCGATTTTAAAACCGTCAACAGAAATAATTACCAGCGAATCCAAGATAAAGTAGAAAAGGTAAGACAAAAGCGTGCTTTGAACCGAGTTGCTTGTGTGCCGATTCTACGAACAGCGTCTGTTAATAACAGGAAGAAGCAGTCTGTTAAGTTCCAGTCACTGTTAATAAAATCAGCTGTCATCGTACCATTTGAAATAAAACTGATTTTGCTTGCAGATTAATTATGCTGATGGAATCTCGGATGGACGCGAACAAAGTTTTCAGAGCAGCTTTGACCAGGGCTATGCAGATGGACTAAAGACTGGCATAGAGTTAACTAAATTTTTAGCCTTCTACGATACATTAACTAAAGCAAATGCTGACGACAATCTGGCAAAGGAGCACCTGGCGTATAAGGAAATGAAGTTGGCAAAAGCTACAGATAAAATCCACTTCAAGTATTTGGAGCATCAAAGTGAACCACTCAGCATTGTATCCGAAAAACAAAATGCCTATGTAGACAATTTATTAGAACACTGCGCCGATGCACTGCACACAACAACAAATTTGTTCAAATCACAAGCAAAATGATTTGATGGATTAAGATTAACCTGGTTTAATGCTTGTGTGTGATTAGGAATTATAATATATGTTAACTGAAAAATTGATCTGACTTATAAATACAGTCCTTCGGGCGTGCCTTCCTTCTTGCGGTACAAGACGCTCTCCTTTGATTTCTTAAAGTCCTCATTGGTCACCTTCATGCGACGCTCGCGCAATGCCATCAGTCCTGCTTCTGTGCAAATCGCCTTAATATCGGCACCAGAAAGATCATCCTTTGCCATAATTAGCTCATTCAGGTTCACGTCTTCAGCGAGTGTCATGCGCGATGTGTGTATGGTGAAAATGCGTCGCTTGGTCTTCTCATCGGGCAAGGGGAACTCAATCTTACGATCAATACGTCCCGGACGTATAAGCGCTGGATCAAGTGTTTCAATACGATTCGTTGCCATGATGACTTTGACATCACCACGAGAATCGAAACCGTCTAGCTGATTCAGCAACTCCAACATGGTGCGTTGAATTTCACGTTCGCCGCCTGAATTGGAATCGTAACGCTTTGTGCCCACTGCATCAATTTCGTCTATGAAGACTATGGACGGCGCGTGCTCCTCTGCAACGCGGAACAATTCGCGCACCAACTTTGGTCCGTCGCCCAAGTACTTTTGTATGAGCTCGGAGCCGACGACACGTAAGAAGGTCGCTGAAGTCTGATTGGCAACGGCCTTGGCGAGAAGCGTTTTACCCGTACCCGGGGGACCATACAGAATAACTCCCTTTGGTGGTTTAATGCCCATTTCTTCGTAGTATTCGGGATGAGTTAGCGGAAGCTCGACAGATTCTTTGATCTCCTGAATTTGAGTGTCCAACCCACCAATGTCTGCATATGTTTCTTGTGGCGCTTTTTCTAGCTTCATGACCGTAACCATGGGGTCTGTGTCGTCGCTGAGGACACCCACTACAGCATGAACCTTATGATTCAACAGGACAGAGCAGCCAGGCTCTAATTGGTCCTTGTCAACGAAGGACAGAATGCTAACATAGTGCTCCGAGCCCACGGATGTCGACACAATTGCATGATTGTCATCGATAATCTCCTCCAAATTGCCCACAGACATTGGTGTGCCACGCAAGTCATCAACCTTCGAGCGTTCTTCTTCGTTCTTTTCGTCTTGTGGCTTGAGTCGTTCCTGGTTGCGTATAAACTCGTCCTCCATCATCAAGTAATCCTTGATGCGCTCCAATTTGAGCAGCTTTAGACGACAGCGAGTATGAGGAGTCACTAGTGGCAGCTTCATGGCGGCATCTGGACCCTTTGCG